GAGGGCGGGGAAGAAGAGAACGTTGAAAGTCGACAGCGCATCGCCGCATGCCAGAAACGAGGGACGCACGGCAGCTCTGCAAAGCATTTCTTACAAATGGGCTGTCACATCATCACTCTAGTCTCCGGGCAGGTAAGGTAGTCTTCGGGCAGGCAAAGGAACGAGTGGGTTTGTCTGCCGTGCTCGAATCGTAAGAGAGGGAGGGAGGGGAAAGCAAGGCAAGCCACCAGACAGATGCAGAATGCACAATGCAGAGAGTTGCATGCGGGATGCCCCAACTTCCAAGCACCTCTGGAAAACTGGCGGTGGACAAACTTGGCCCCAAGGCGCAGGGTTCCCCAGGACGAGTCGTGCGAGAGTGCGAAGGGCTGTGTCTTCCTTTTGTTCTCGCTGAGGTTAAAGGTAACTTTTTGGCGTGATGCTACGTACACGACCATGCTCATGCATCTTAAAAGTACAATTATGATGGAGAGAGTCAGGTATCTCACCCGCAGCAAGGGGAATGGAGGCAAAGGTTGGGGTAATTAAGGTGGCGTGCCTTGCGTATTGTCTTGGGTGTTGCGCGCCGTGTCTGCGTGTCTCTTGTCACTTCAACTCTTTCATCTGAGACTCGAGAAGGTGTCGCGTCGATGCTGTGGCCATGAACTTGACCTTGATATCGACCGTTGTTGACGGCAGATGTAAGCAGTCACGTAGTATGATAATTCGACAAAGTTCATCCGGCAAGTGGTGATATCCTATTCCACCCAGGTACACGCAATGTCAACGAGACCCTCAATGACCGACGCTATGGCTAGATCCTGACATGCTCAAGAATGTTTCGTATCAGTTTGCTGAAGAAGATGAGGTGCACATTCTATCTGTAAGATGGAGCTGTTGGGGCTCTTCCTATGTGTAACCTGGCTATTCCTTATGAATTCACACTCTCTGCTTCACTCAAAGCTAACAGACAGGCTAGTAGATGCGCAAAGACAAGAAAGACTGAGGCAATTCACTCGAATGCTTTCAGTAGCAGACCCAATACCTCAGTACCTTAGTTACGTGACGGTGACAATGACAGATTTCACTCAGTGACAGACTGACGAGACGAAGACGGGAAAGCTGCCGGTACGTATCGCCCGCCGCCCGCCGCCTTTCCCCTCGCTCCTGGGAGCCACCCTGGACCCCCATTCCATTCCTTCCCCCAGGTCAGCCCCAGCCAATGATGACGCATCAAATGACCGGATCACCCAGTTTTGTGTTTTTTTTCTGTGCCTGGGGCCCTGGGGGGAAAGTTGGGAAGGACCCGCCCACTGCCATGAAGAGCTTCCAGGTGCAGGAGCGCAGCAGCGGCATGACGGGCGGCGCTGAGTGTCGCATGGGCCCGGACCTGGCCCGACAATCTTGGAAACCTGAAGCTCCCTTCGCTTTTCTCAATGGAATGAGGAGAAACTCGAAGGGGCCCACCTGGCACCGACAACGGGACGATGGTGCTGGTGCACAGTCAGCGTCAACGTGCAACTGGGACGGGAGGCCATGTCACTCCCGTCACTCGAGCACTTCAATGCTTCAACGAGCCCTAGGCTCTTCTGTTCTTGAGGGAACTTGGAAAGGAAGTTACGTAAGGTACCTATGCAGAGGCACCGAGGAAAGGAAAGTTGACACGATCAGGTCGGGCGCGTCAGGGTGGTCAGGGGCTCCTTCAGTCAAGCAGGGTTCAGGTCCCCCCAACCACCCGGCCTATCCTTCCCCGTCCATGGATCACCGCTGGGCCTTGGTGTTGGGCTGAGAAGGAAAGCGGGGGCAGGCAAGGCCGATGAAGCAGGTGCGTCAACAGGGTGACTGGTTGCCATCATAATAATAAAGTACCTCAGACTCATGACTTATCTCTTGACTGCCATTGCATTCGGTGTCTCGCTTCCAGCAGAGATGCACCAAGAAGGGAGAAATGCTACACCTTGTTTTCTCGAATGTAAAATGCCCGGGAAGAGGTTGAGAAAATCAATTATCACGCAAAACTGCGCCTTCCTCGTCTCGAAATTGGAGGTGTATCCCATGAGGAAGCTTAGGCAAGCATAGCACAGCAAAACAGAAAGAACGGCGTGGGCCGTGGTAGCTCTTTCCGTCACCCTTCCCCTTCCATTGGAAGGTCCCCACAAACAGCTCCTTCCCCAAACTCGCTCCCAAGATCCCGTGCCTGCCCTGCGACATCGACCCGCCCAAGGCACGCACTTTCCTTTCCGCAGTGCACCAACAACAAATTCGAGGAAAAGCTCTTTTGCGACCTGACCTTATTACCTCATCCATTGACCATTCCAAGAAAGTTGCGGAAAGCTATTCGATCAACTCCACCCTGGCAATCTAATTCTGCCGACAATCGGCCAGTCATTGCTCTAACCGCGGCAACTTGTCTTCTTCCTGTGCGTGTTCGTCGGACATCAGGCACATCACACTATTCGGGGCAACAGCGTCCGGCGAGAGCCGAAGACCAGAAAAGAAGAAAAAAATCACTGCACTACCTTGCGAGATGCCACAGGGCCCGCCGGCAGCTATCCGCGCTCCTTGCAAAAAAAACAATCCAAGAAAAGTAGGTCAATATCTAGCAAACCCTGACCGCAACAAAGATGCAGGGGATTTGAACAGACCCCCCGGCCGCCAGAGGGCGGTGAAGAGGCAAAGACGACCATAGCTTCACCCAATGCCCTTCACCGATGGCTCATCCCGACGCCTACCCGCCATAGATGCATAGACCCGAGTACTATCCACTACCTCATCTAGACCCTTGAGAGCAAGCAAGCGAAGCCAACGAACGCGCTTGGAGGCCCCCTGACCAACGACAAACTACAATCATGGAAGGGATGGGATGTCTGGTCACCTCGCGGTCAAACGTTGTGTTATTCTGCCATGAATTCGGCACCGGCTTTGCAAATGCACATTGTCAGCGTGTCTTTCACCCTCCATCAGCCAGTCGCTCATCAACGTCCAACTCTATGCGCCATTCGCTATCGCTCCGGCCCCCATATCTCATCCTTGCATCACATCACCAATGCGGGAGGCCAAAAGGCGCCTGGCTGATAGCGGTTCGCCGAATCATCCCATAAGATCGACCACGTCGACTATCGCCCGCTGTTCCGTCACCCGTGTATGGCTGGATTCCCCTCGTCTTATGTGCGGCACGACACTCCATCTGGTTCGTCACGCAACACCGCATCCTCCCGCTTTCTGCCAAATGCGGCGTCAGAGACTCTTCAACCTGCAGACTGACAGCTCAACGCATGACGCCGGGATTGACAGGGGGGCCACTTGCCGGCTGCAACCACTTCCGCACATTGTATGTCGCTGCTGAGCGATATCACCAATCATACGGGGGGACTACTTCGCATCGGTTGCTTCAGCTCAGTTTTGCCCAAGCAAAGGCACTGAGTGGTCTGCATTCGCAACTTTTGACCCTACAAGCGTCTCCACTAAGATCCTGCTTCGTGAACATGAAGGGTCACCACATTTCACCGATTTGACATGCTTCCACTTTAGCTTCACACCAGACGGGAGAGATCTTGAGCAGAGAAGCTGTAGGCTCTACTGGGCGACCTAACATACAAATCTCCACGTCACGTCTTCCCAACCCTTCCGCCGCGAAAGTTTGATATTCTCGGCCGCCCGATCACTCGCCGGTCGTCTTGTCGCTCCACCTAGTGGCGGAGCTTCCGCCGCAGGAACCTCAACGCCATCCACGTCGAACCCGAGCGCTAATGCGCTGACGAACCCGAGGGTCTCCGTTTGGGCAAAGTGACGGCCGGGACACAGATGGCGGCCGCCGCCGAACGGGATCAATGCCCCACGTCTCCGTTTCTCATCCCGGGGATCAACGTCAAGGAATCGCTCCGGCTTGAAAGAAGCGGCATCGTCGCCCCAAATCTCCGGCATGAAATGCGTGACGCTTGCCGACCATTGCATATTGGTGCCCTTCTTCAACAGATACTGACGGCCATCCGTGTCTTCCAGTGTAGCATCCTTCATAATACGTCGGTTTCCTATCTGCGCACTGTGGAGCCTCAGAACTTCGCGGAAGCAGGCGCCGAGGAAAGGACAGTCTGCTTCCAGGCTTTTAGCATTAATTGTCACGTCTCGTCCCGTTTCGCTCTTGGTTTCCACAGCCACCCGTATAACTTCCTGCCGGACACGCTCAACGTACTCTGGCCTGGAGAAAACTTCGGCAAATGTCCAGAACAGGTTCGACGCCGTATTCAGCGTTGCAGCAAAGGGAATCAGAAACTCGGTTTGAGAGAGGTCTTCGGAGGCCATCCCCAGCTCGCGTAGATACCGAGCTCGGTCTTGAAGAATCTTTGCCACATCCGAGTTCTCATCTTTTCGTGCCTGGTAGAAAGGTCGGATAAGATCACTCATCCTCTTTCGGGCAGCGATAGCTTTGGGAGCGACCAAATTCGGTGCAACCTTCATCACCAAGAGCCCTGCGCCTTTTTCAAACGTCCTGCTTCATGTTAGCGAATGCCACGCCGCTCATTATGCACTCTCTTCTCACCAAAGATCTTCAAGCATCTTGGCGTCCCACATATTGTCCTTCCCGTACAGAGCAGTCGCAGTGGCCATGGTCAAGGTGCCCTTGATCCATTCGAATCCATCGGACTCTTCGAGTGGGCTTATGCCATTGATTGTGTTCAACACCCCTGCCAAGTATTTCAGAGCAGCATGGTTCATCTTTTGGAGCGCATCCTGGCGTAGATTTGTCGCCATGGTTTTCTCGATCTGGTGCAAGATTCCTGGTTGCATAAGGGTGTCTATGTGATGTTTCGGAAGATCCAGCACAGCCGACGAGGCTTCGATCTGGAAAGGCTCGAAGGAGATGTCTCCGTGGCACATAGCCGCTGCGATCAGAGAGGGCGAGTTTGCCACGTACATCTTGCCATGTAACATCGGTAGTGTGCAAATCGGCAATCTGTTTTCCTTGCTTCATGCTCCAGTCAGCAAAAGAATGTGCACTTGTTCAGACAACCAAAAACATACTACAACCTGGCATAGAAGCCGCCTGATTCTCTGATGAGGGAGATAATATGGCCGAAAACTGGCAGCCTCGGACGAAGCACCGGGGGTTCACGAGGATCGAAGTTCGGAAACATAAGCTTCTTCAGCAAGAACGCCGGTACTAGCAGCAATGCCGCTGTGACTACAATCATCGAATAACTTCTACCTGCCGACTCCGTACTATGAGCGCTAACGTCTGCCATTTTTCGGGGAGATCAATCAGAGCGACACAACGCGCAGTATTGAGAAATAAACGTCAGAGCTCCCATCAGGCTTTGATCGAGGGTATGGCACGATCATATGGGAAATCCCCTCCCCTCATATGGCTAGGGGTGTTAAAACTTCGTTGCACACGCGTGTGGTCAGCGCTAAGAACGCCTCTCAGAGCAATCGTGTCACGAAAGGCGCTCGCCTATCATATTGCCGGTGGAATTTCTTATTCCAGCCACCGAATGAGGGCTGATATTGTATCAGATCTCGAGAAAGGCTGGGAAAAGAAGGGCTTCGTCATGCTTTGACCTGTGGATCACCTGTTTATCCCCTTGTTTCTCTTGATATCTCGGGCTTGAGCTTTCGAATCTTCGTGAAGTCACGCTGTCAGCGAATATTTCATCGCTTCAGCTACCTAAGATGGCAAACTTCTGCACTCGCGCGAAAACGTCCCAATTTGTGCCCGATTCTACAGCAATCCACGAGGAAAGTCTCCTGCCTGAAAGCCGAAGGCATGCGGCTGAAAAGAAGGGCCGTAGCGACCGAATCCTCCAGTCTAGCCTATTTTGATGGTGGCAGGCGATGATCTACGTCCACGCTCAAGTGTGACAGCTCCTTTCCTCTTTGATATGATCCAGGCTCGGGACTATGATCGACACATGGTGCCTTGAGATAAGATTTCTACCGAACTACTTGCGCCCCTGTGGGCCTTCATTCCAGCCGTTGTCCGACCTGCTCATTTCAAAGCAGTTTGAGATCACTGACAGCATACGACATCCAGATCGAGCTGTCCCAAACGCCATCCGAACCCTTGGCAACTTTTGCCCATGCTTTACGCCAATGGTGAGCCAGCTAAGTTCCATAGGAGGCTTTGAAGAGGGCACATTTGTCATTGAGAACTCTCTTTTTCGAGATCACGCAACACCAACGCCTTATGGCCATCCTAGCTACAGCGTGTGTACTTCGTAAGGTATATATCCCAGGCAAACGGCCGGGATTCCTTTCCTAGCCCGTCAGTCTGGCTACTATAGCAGCGGGCTGTTGCATCCAAACGCAACGCACGAGAGTTCAGGGCTACACCTGCAGCTTTGCCTTCTACGCACCAGCCAGCCAATGTACGACCGCGGCATCAGCGTTGCAAAGCCAACGGGGTATCCAAGTGCTACAACTTCACGTCAATGCATACCATCTTAGCTTATGACCATAGTGCGAAACGTCTTTGGATTTGTTTCAAACCTAGATGGCACTGTCAACCACGTCTATGACGATCGATCCCCAAGAAGAAGTCGTTGATTAAACTCCGGGACTAACAACAGCCAACATCGATTCGAGGAATGTTCGTCTCTGGGCAGAGGCGGATGTCTCCCCCGCCACAACATGAGATTATCTTCTAAGGGACATTCCCATGGACCCTCGATCGAAGTGTAGCTTCGCCTTTCGACGTCTTCTTCGCTGCAACCTGGTTGCTTAAGACCCCTGGTGCTTTGAGACATGGGCGAGGGATTGACCGGCCACCCATCCGAGATTGTCGAGATGCTACGGCACGTGGAGACAGAGAACGATTGCGGGTGTGTTGAGCAAAGAGGCACCACACCGAGCCAGCTACGCACCATCGTGAAGATCAAGAAACCTCGCACTGGCAGCTGTCTTTTCCCACCTGGGGCGAACGAATTGCTAATTCAGTGCGGCAAGCCGTATGTCGGTATCTGATCCCTGCATGACAACAGCTTTTTGATGCTTACACTGCCCGCCGTTCGGTGAGCTCCAGCCCCTCACACATCACTACTCGGGTTTCTGTCACCCCGTTGTCACAGCGGGGGACGTGCGGCGTTGAAGTTGAGTTTGCGTCAGGACAGCCATGCATCCCTGACAAGGTCAAGCATCTCCCCAAGTTCTGACGTTTCGCATATTGAACTAAACGGATTGTTTTAAAAACAAGTAGTCAGCCCGTCGACGGTTGATCTCCCGCGCCACCTCCTCCGCCCGCCTATTCACCGGGACAGAATTTAACCAGCGTCCGATCCGAATCTGAAGAGTTGCAAAGGGCAGAACGTCTGCAAACGAGCTTGTGTACCGATAGAATGCCGAAGGGCTCAAGGCAGTATCACGGAAAGACGAAGAACGGGTGCCGACAGTGCAAAAAGCGTCGTGTCAAGGTACGGAATGATCCTTTTTGCAAAGAGGCGGGTAGGCATGAGCAAGACGTGGGCCGCCAATATCGGGACAGACTGGTGACGTGCATGTCGGAGTCCCGGTTTATTGGGTTCTTCCTTCAGCCAGTCACGATGTTGGTTAGCCGAGCAAGACATGATCGCCGTCTGAGTCTCCCAATACTACACTGTACTATCTCAGGGAGCTTGTTCTTTTGCTAACTTGACATGGGGTTCTAGTGCGACTGCGTTGGTCCCGTATGCGCCAACTGTCGCCGTCGCCAAGAACACTGCAGCTATCTCGGGCTACTCGCAGACGCCCTCAATCGCGAAAATGGAGAAAAGGCTAGCGATACCTTGAGTATGGTCCGCCGTGCCGCCACGGTTGCGGCGCACGCGTCTTCACGAGATGCCCTCAGCGTTTCATTACCTGCCGAGAAGCTTCGCGCCGACGAGGCTGAGCTCAAACACCACTTCCTGAACGAGGCCTGGTTCACCTTTTCATTACAGACCGATCCTCGAAAGTGCGACGTGTGGTCGAGATGGGTGCCGCAGCTGGCGTCACGCAACGTGTTCATCCACCAGAGCATGCTGTCTATCGCGGCCCTACACTTATGCTACCTCGAACCGCCAAACGCGAAGCGATACTATTCGATGGCTTGCCAACACGCCATACAAGCGAGCAACTATTTCCGGCTAGCTGTTCCTCAGGTCACAGAGGAGAACTGGCTGGCTACCTTTGTGTTTTCCATGTGCAACGGTATCTTTGGGTACTACCGACCGTTTGCCGACGAGAAGGTGATGGGACAGGTCAGCACGTTTGAGCCTTGCAAAGCTCTTACAGTAATGCGGATAGCGGCCAGATTCTCAGACACGGTCACGCCGCACGTCTTCAAGAGTCCTATACGGGACAAGCTAGCACAAGTCGACGTGAAAGTATGGCGCGACAGCAGCGACATACTGCTACGGCCAACCATACAGAAGAAAGCCAAGTTTGTTGAGTTTCTATGCCTAGGCCCCGAATCAACGGGGATACCAGTCGAAGACATCAAGATATACCTCGGGGCCCTCGGCGCACTCAAATCCTGGATCATGTCTCTCCCCGGACGGCCGAGGATATGGAAACACTTCATCATTTGGCCGTCGCTGGTGTCGGAGCAATACCTCTCGCTTCTGAGGCTGAAGGAACCCGTGGCGCTCATGATATTTGTCCTCTGGATCGAAGTCATGTTCCTCGCGCCGCGGCGATGGTACCTCATGCCCTGGTACGATCGCGGGCACGCCAGCGCGATAGCGGAGCTCAGCAGGCAGGGCGACACGCCCGCCCGCCGGTTCTGGGATGTGCTGCAGTCGGAGGATAGTCAGTCTGATACCACGGGCGAGGATTCCGAGGGCAGTGTGGGGTGGGCGAGTAGTCCGTCCATTGCTAGGAGCGACGACGTCGGGGGGCGAAGAGGCGGAATTGTCTTGCTGTCGACTGGAGAGGAGTATGTTGGGCAGGACAAAGGGTGTGGCGGTGGTAGCAGCGGGTATATGAGCATTCCGGCATTGGCGCAAAAGGCGAGCTGATGATGGCAAATGTCATCGCGTATATCGTCGGAACTGGTCACCTCGCGCACTTTCCGTCGATGGCACTACTGTAAGGACCTGCAGGTTCCTGAACTGACAGGTGCCTAATAGCTTTTCCAGCGGGAGGAAAGAAAACATACTCTGGTTTCGAGACCAGGTCGGGGGAACATTCCACGATCACGACTACATCTCGTGTTTGGCCTATATAATATGGCCCTAGTGACACTGCCCTCAAGCTGCGAAAGGTCGCGATGTGTGTTATCATGGCCTGGCTGGGGCACCAATCTGACCGTACCGACCGATTTTTGATCGTCTACTTTTGGTCCGGTGTCCCATCGACGATCGATTACGATTCTGGAGGCACGATGGACTAGGCGATCGCACACTCATCAGCACCAAGCATGTCAAGCCTGTTCTGCTCTAGCTATCAAGATAAACCAAATCACATACTAAATATTATTGTTTAACTGAATGTCAGCGCTTCAATACCCTACACTGGTGTACACAAGTGTCCCTCAATAATGGTAGTAACATGATGTCTGCCAAGCACGTGCATCTCCATGTCAATAGCAGGTAGACACACCATCTAAGATGCCCGGCCCAAGTAAGGACTCGCTGTCTGATAAGGACCAATCCTACATCGGCGGTTAAGTTCAGCAACCACTCAGAGACGGCCCATTTGAGCAAGTTTCCTTTCACATGTTCCTTTCATCACGTTACTACGCACCATTGCTGTGCTTTCTTGGTGCGCGAATTTTCGTACGCTCTGTACAGAGTACCTTTTACGTTTGCCATTGCCTTGGGGGTATAAGGTGCTGAGGTACGCGGGCGCGCCAATGCCTCTAACAGCAACTCCGCGTGAAGTAAAGGAGCGCCCGCCCCACCCCGCCCGTGTCGTGCCGTTGGACTGGGCTCGCTAGGAGGTGTGGGGTGACGGCATGCAGGCGGGAGGTTTCGTCCGGCGTCGGCGGGTGGTAGGAAACCTTAGTTTCAGCCTGATGATTTGTTTTTCATACTGTTGTGAATGTGGACAAGTGTTACACATGTATGGATTCCAGAGACATGCTTGAGTCCGACTTCTCATTGCTTCGAAGCTGGAATTCTCGGTAATTTCTGGACCGGTCGGCGGGAGTTAACGGCACGGAAGGGATGGGAGGGAGGGAGGGGGCAAGGAACCGATCCCGGAGGCGGGTGCCATCGGCTTTCGGGAACGACTCCGCCGGTGGGGTTCAACGACACATAGTTTAGACACCTCCACCCTCTGTGATTACTTCGCACCTCATAGGACGTGGAAGTGAATGTACGGGGGCAAATGTGTACCAAACAACTGTACTCGCGGTGATCGTCGGGGCGAGACGCGAGGTACGTCTAGGACCTGGACTGTTTATGTACTGCATGAATACTGTTGGGAGAGCACTGGCCGATCCCGCCCCTAGAAGCGCTGGCCGAGCAAGCGGGCGGAGGTCTGAAGGGGGAAAAGGGCTCAGGATTGCGCATGTATGATGTCTTTTACCCCGCAGGAGATAGTCCAAAGTTCGTGCTATGCAGTCTCTTATCAATTGTCTATATAACATGCTCATATCTCGGTCGTCTTCCTCCCTTCTTTATTTTTCCCTTTCTTGTAACCAAGTTTCGTTGACCAGCTTCGATATACACACACAAATAGTAGGCCCATTTCCGTGTAACCGGACGCATACAGACTGACACCCTCACAGGAGGCACTTTGCCGTACAAGCATCTTCACGAGTATGTGAAAACTCTTGAGCGCAAATGCATGAGCCGGTGCCCACCCGAGCGCAGACGTCGCTACCATCACTCTTCCCCATGATGGGTTAGCAACCGATGCCGACGGTGTGGCTGAGAATATACGGCCTTGAACTTGATCTGGATAATACCAGCGAAAGGATCATGCACCCTAACACAAATAGATTACACCAAGAACACACCTGCTCGAGAAGTTCTTCCGAACCCCAACGACAACAAAAGACAAAATGGCTCCTCCCGCTGCAATCTCCCCCGTCCGCGACTACGCCGTCCCTGTGATGGCCAATAAGTCCAAGCCCTCTACCCCCGTCCCCACCACCGCTGCCAACGCTTCTACCAAGGTGGAAGACATGTTCGGCAAGTGGGATACCTTCAAGTTCGCCCCCATCCGCGAGTCCCAGGTCTCGCGCGCTATGACGCGCCGCTACTTCTCCGACCTCGACACCTACGCCGAATCCGACGTCGTCATCGTCGGCGCCGGGTCCTGTGGTCTCTCCACGGCCTACGTCCTCGCCAAAGCCCGCCCGGACCTCAAGATCGCCATCGTCGAGGCCGGCGTCGCGCCCGGTGGTGGCGCGTGGCTTGGAGGGCAGCTGTTTTCCGCCATGGTCATGCGCAAGCCCGCCGAAGCCTTCCTGGACGAGGTCGGTGTTCCGTACGAGGATGAGGGGGACTTTGTCGTGGTGAAGCACGCTGCGCTGTTCACGTCCACCGTCATGAGCAAGGTGTTGCAGTTCTCCAACGTGAAGCTGTTCAATGCCACCACGGTCGAGGATCTGATTACTCGCAAGAACGAGGATGGCAGCCTGCGGGTTGCGGGTGTGGTGACCAACTGGACGCTCGTCTCCATGCACCACGACGACCAGTCTTGTATGGACCCCAACACCATCAACGCGCCGCTCGTGGTGTCGACTACCGGCCACGACGGCCCATTTGGCGCGTTCTGCGTCAAGAGGCTTGTGAGCATGAAGCAGATTGAGCAGCTTGGCGGCATGCGCGGGCTGGACATGCAGAGTGCCGAGGACGCGATCGTCAAGGGGACGAGGGAGATTGTGCCGGGGTTGATTGTGGGCGGGATGGAGTTGAGTGAGGTTGATGGTGCCAACCGTATGGGTGAGTCGTCTCCTTTCACATACTTGGTTTGATGAGATGAGTGTTACGTTTTGCTAACGTCCTCGGGTGTTATTCAGGTCCGACTTTCGGTGCCATGGCTCTCTCTGGAGTCAAGGCTGCCGAGGAGGCTCTTGCCATCATTGATGCCCGCAAGAAGCAGAACGAGCTCTAGACTGGGGTAGTCTGATGGGACGGTCATTTTGTTTTCGTCCGAAGATATTGGGACATGGTCGCTCGCTGCTTTCCAGATCAGGTAGGTTTGGGTTGAGGTGACACGAGATTGGATACTTTGTCATGGTTTGAGATCAAGTACACAAGATACAAACATTCAAGTATGACCTGAATACAGTCACTCTTTTGATACTATGATTGGAGGTACACCTGTGATGTGAAGATCGGAAAACCTTGACAGCTGTATGGCTCTGACCTTCAGAGATATGCGATCTCTCAGGTAGTGGTGAAAAGGCACCTTGCTGGCTTACCTCAACCCGCACCATGGACCGTAACCTGTAGTTCAAAACAGCAGACTACCTTGTTGAACACCTAAGTTCGTGCTGGATGAGCAAGTTTAGGATATGCTGACACTTGATGCTGTAGTTTTACACGTTCCGCACACAAAGTTGCTGTGTCGTGGCTCACTTTGGACGGAGTCTCGAGCCCGTCGTGAACCTTGGGCAGTCAAGGTTGCTGAGGCCTAGCGAAATCTAACTGAGTCAAGCATCCTCCCATAAGATCCCACCCCAGCAGCCAACTATCAAAGCCCAAACCACAGACATCTCTTCCACACTCCCTCACAACACCTCACATACTAACATGTCACCCAACATGGATATAACTACTATCGGAGCGCTTGTGGCTGAGCGTCAGGCCAACGACTTCATGGCTTTCCATGATGACATAACTGCCTGGCAGAACACGAGAAACCAGTACAGAATCTCCGGAAAAGAGGTTCCTCCGGCAATCGCAGCCGTCACAAGCTGGATCGAAGCCCAACTTGAGAAAGCAGTCGGGGCCATATACGACGGCGTATTGGAAACAGCGCACGTCTATTGTAACCGGATACGGTACGGAATGAGGGCCTTCGAACAGTTCACGCGCGAGGAGGCACTGTATGGCGGCCTCATCATGGAGCTCAGGCAGATCTTGAGAGACCATGACCTGATGAAGGACCTCCACTGTAGCGCCAAACGCCTGCCAGAACTATGCGTCAAATACGACATGAAGGTAATTACGCCACGGGAGATTGAGGACGCACAAGATCAATAGGGTTGAAGGGCGGCCACGAATTGGTCGGACTTGATCCGGGAGGTCGATCGAGAGCTTCGCTGCACCGCCGAGTGGAATCATTGCTACGGAAGATACGAGGAACGTGGCTGGCGAAGCACGCCTTTCGAATGTCCGCCAAAACCGAAAACGCCCTTCTCGAATGTGGCGCGGGCAGTTATTGACCTTTGCCTCGATGAGGTCAGCGAGGAGGATAACTGGGAGTCCGTCGTGGACATTGCACGAGAACAGATAACGACGCCGAATGACTTCAGGCCCTACACAATATAGTTTGGTGTGTTCGATTACTTGAGTTACCGAACGGAAGCGACATGACGGAACGTTCTTGCAGAGACGCATCACTTAGCTGGGCGACGCGAGACTATGGCCTCTGTTGGAGTAGAAGGTTGACGATATGAACCTCGATAGAATGCAGAGAATGTTGATAGATTCACATTGGCTGAATTGCTCACACCAACTGAGGCAGCCCGTTATAGAGAGCTTTCGCCAACGCGAAGGGGTACCCTCCTAATAATTCATTGAAGTCAAGGGCGCTTCTCGGTCTCGATACATCATACGGATTTGAGAAACGTTTCAACACCACAAGACTAGAATTAGATACTTATGCAATTAGAAGTTTTTGAAAAGTCCTGCGTTCCGACATAGGTTGCTGTCGTATGCATCAATCTCGATATTTGCCCCAAACAGCTTACGATCTGTTCATTTTCCCGTGGTAAACGAAAGATCTGGAGAAAAGTCCGGCAACGTCAACGCCCAATCAACTCAACACATGCATCAAAGGTGTTTTTGTCTTATTATTAGATAGTAAAGACCATTGATTCTACAAAAGGCTGACTTTCTTTGACTTGATTCCCCCTTTCAGCTCAGGAACGTAGTACTTACACATTATCTACCACTGCAAAGGCTCTTTGTGCTGAATGACAAGGAGACAATGAAGCGAGTCTGCAAAGATCTGCATTATTTTCTGCGTATAAATGCAACTCGTTTCGTCTTCAGTCTAGAGCTTACCAATCCAGTCCATCACATCAACGCAGAAACCCTCAATATCACCATTCAATTCCTGGCCTCCAGCATTCCAGCACAACTTTTTTCACCACCATCTCTAGGCATCATCTGACCATCTAACCTAAAGGACAAAGCCCGACATTGCGATTGTCATCTCATTCATCCTCACAAGAATTCCGATCATCATGTGTCTTATCCTCCAGCCAACCTCCCAATGCAAGGTGTGTCTCCAACTCATCCGACTCGAAGACGTAAACCAATTCTGCGCCAACACCGTCAACATCCCTAGCGGCACTAACTGGGCCAACATCTCACCTTCCATCCTAGGCTCCTGCGGCACCCTAAAGCTGACGAGAGTCCAACGCCTTGCTCAGTTCGTCTGCGAACACTGCCGCTGGTCGGCAGAACAGTCAGCCAAGGACTTTTACGAGTTCCTCTATCCGTCGCCGCACAAGTACTTTGGAGAATCGGCCCACGGCTTCGCTAAAGAGTTCTTGAGCCGTTCGAGTGCGCCTTCTCCCGGGAAGCAACGTCCGTTTCCCCGGAATAACAAGGGTAAGTCTTACAGCTTGCCTCTTCTAGCCAGGACCGCAATCTCGAGATTCCCGATCCCAGCTGGGTCGGGTTCGACCCAGTCTGAGGCGTCGTCTGAGGCATCAGTCGCCACGACGCACTTGAATCACCTCTCAACTCTGGACCCGCCGGCGAGATCCAAGTATGAGTTCCACTCTTCATCAAGTGTGTATTCATGTACTAGTGAGTCAAGCGATGAAGACAGTCTGGAGGATAATCAGAACGACAGCCGATGCCTTCGATGGGCCAATTCGGTAGACCTTATGAACAGCAAACAACAGCCACCACCTCTGAACATGCTGATCGATCAGACCCAGAACCTTCCGGATACCCCCAAGTCCGCCAAGCAACTCCGGGTCGTATCATCTTGGGGCGCGAGGGCCGCTCACAACCCCGAAGAAGACCCCTGGTGGCTACCCGAGACCTGGGGTGCCATACAGGACCTCACCAGCGATCTTGTCGAATATCTCAGCAAGGCTGAGCTTATTAGCACCTTTCACGGCCACAGTGTTCACGTCTCTCGCAACGAAAACGAAACAAGTGCCTGGGACGAGAGCCTCACCGTCATCATCGCGACGCCTGGAGGGACAAGAGCCCGCATCATGACTGGGGAAGTGTATCAGCAGGGCGTAAGCCTGGCGGGCCTCCGCATGATTGATCGGGCTCGGTACCAGCACATCTCCAAGAAGGAGCAGAAGCATATGGAAAAGGCGGGACTCGGCTGCATCTTCTACCCGTGTAGAGTCGCGAGTTGTCCGCTCTCTCATAAAAAAGATCAGCATCAGCCGTGGCCTTCGAATGGCGAGAGCTTGCTTGCTGGCTTAGAAAGGGGATACCGGATGCGGAAGAACTGGAAGTCTCGGGCTAGTATTTCTGCCTCTATGGCGCCGACGCCGACTCCTCGTCAGTATTCATCCCCGTTCCCTGTTCGAGGTCGATCACCTGTTGTTGATGGGGGACTTTCCCGCCGTCGACCGGCTCCGCTGGATCTGACAAAGACCAAGGAAGTGAGATTCACTGATGCAGCAGATGTTACTGAATCGACCTGGTCCCGTGGAGATGTGACGCCTCATCCGAGCAGTCTTCAGACAGCAATCTCAGATGAGGAGGAGGAGGGTCCCCTCACGACGCCTGACTGGTTCGAACCTCTCATGAATACACCACTCAAGGTGAAAGGCGATATGATGGTGAAGTACGGGGGTAGAGCTGGTAGAGTTCGACCCCAGAAATACGACTTGAACCCGGCCAGCGAGAGAAATGAATCACCACTACTCCATGTTCGTTCCGAGACAAGTCCACAGCAGATTCCCCAGACTTGGGGTGCCTCAATCTTTGGGCAAGTATACAACGCCAGAAGGGCTGCGGCTGATTCATCATGCGACGACACCTCCAAGTTGCGTGCCCTACCCATGCTCTGAATCAGTTATGGATTTCAAGCCCTGATGAGGATGATACTGACACCTGTGATCCCCCATCTCGGTAGGTAAGTGATTGGGGACGGTTATTGACGTTTGTGGAGTATGAGCTGCGTACGGGTGTCAAGGACGATAGTTACACGAGAATCCATGGATTTCTATAGTTGGGCTAGAATTACTACATGATTCAATAGACCACTCGTTTCGAATCTCATGCTACTGGACCCTTCGGTCAACTGTTTTAACCCTGATTTAGACTAACGATGCTGTACGTGGTCCTAAGCCATAGAATGGTTCTAACCTGGAGACAGATTAAGGCTGATGGGCACCTTGCCTTCTCTAACCCTCCTATTTCCCAGGAGAAAAACCCCCCTCTCCGCCTTTATAATCGACGCAAGTAGGTATCGATTTGATTGCCGAGAGTGATGAAGGTGCTTATGTGGTTCCTAAGACATTCGATGTTTAGCAGGTTTACATCTCTTCACCGCGACTACTACGTACCGTTTTTCAACACAAACATCCGCGACGATACCGTTACGAGCTGCTTCCATATTGGTATTCGAAAAAGATGGAGAAAATTCACGTCTGGGGTGAAAGAAATACGCTTTTCTCCAGGTTCACATCCTCTTCTTGCTCGTGCACTTGAGTGGGCCAAACTTATTCCTGGTGGCCTCCCACCACGCGGCACCAACCATGCCCTCGTTGCAAATCCCCACCGTCGCGAAGCGCCAGGTCATGATGCCCTCCCACTTGTTCTCGCAGCCGGAGTCCGGGCTTGGGGCGCATACCGGGAATTTTTTGAGGTTGTCCCAGAGACCGCCGCAGATGTCGGGGATCTTGTCGACGTCGGGGACCATGGCATGGATCATCCACTTGCGGTTGAGGTTCATCATCTTGAAGTAGTTGCCCGTGCAGGTGGGTTGACCTTGCTTTAATACCTGCGTCTGTTGCCCCAGCACGCTGGTGATGGAGAGGGTTATGGCGAGGACGGCTGTTGCGGAGAACTTCATGTTTGATGGTAGTTGTCGCAGGCCTTGAGGATGGATGCGGTATGTCGTCTTCAGCTGATCGTGTCGGAAATGTGATGTTTGATTTTTCTGTCTTGAATGGTATAAGGAAGAGAATTTCAAAAGCTGACCGCGGTCCAGGCATTTGTGTCATTAAGTTTATCCAGAGAGGTATCACCGACTGAGTCAAAAATCGAGTGTGAACTGCGGCTAGCTATCTCGGTATCTTGGGTCAACCAAAGAAAACCCTTCGCTACAAACCTTGTGTATTGGCTCACCTCAATCCGTGGTCTCACCTTGATGGTGCATCTCATGTTTCTTGTCGTGACATAAATGCATCTCGGCGTTCTTCTCTGCGCTTGCAGTTTGTCTAATTCCCCTTCATGACCACCAAGTGTAAGACAGCGTTCAGCTCAAAATCCTCTAACATTCAAGTTCTAACGACATTGAAATATTGATCGCTGAAACAAGGAAGAAGACCTTTCAACAACTACAAACCCATACTAGATTTTGCGGGAACCAAACATGAAAGCTATCGTTCTACCTATTTCTCCATCATAGTCCATGCAAACTGAAACTTAAGGTCTCAGGGTAGCAACGAGAAAACTTACTCACCTCATCTATATCACGTTTTCTCTGCGCAGACACGTCTGCAACGCTTGCCGGTTCTTCAGGAACAGCTTGTGGCCTTAGACAACGGGACTATCAACTCAGAACGGCAAAAATGCAAAAGATTGGGCCCTAACCAGGATTCGAACCTGGGACCTCTCCCAGATAGGTGAATCCGAAGATGTACCCTAAGGGAGAATCATACCGCTAGACCATCAGGGCTGCTGAGTCATTGAAGACTTGTGGTGTGATGCTCAGGGGCCCAGGGCGAGACCCTATGGAGGCGAGGAGCTCCTCTGGCGGGAAAATTGGTGATCGTAAGAGTGGTGCTGTGGCGGTGGTGGCTGATGCGTGAGGGCGGGTGGATTTGTGCGCGTCTATAGGCCCGGCGGTGCACATGACTCTCTCTCTGGTCAAGGTAGACGGTTGCTCTCGCGAAAGTAGCGCTTCATTGCTTTGGGGCCCATGGGTGCCGTGGCAGCATCAACTGCCAATTCGCCCTTCATTAAAGCGTTGTCCCGTGCTTGATAGCGGTGACACCAAATTCGTGTGCACGTCAAGTGCATTGGGCGGCCTCGCCCCCTTTCCCAGGGGAAGACAATGGTGAATACTCTTTTGTTGATCTGGCAGATCAGTCGACAAGTCAGATCGAATCTCGGTCGAGTCCTCGACAGCATGCCCAAAGTTGTCCCAAAGGGTGAATGATCTTCAGGAACAATTGTTGTAGGCACATTCCACCTGCCTCCCTGGGCAACCACGCGGGCCAAGCACCAAAGGGAAACAATAAAAAGGGAAGACTATTCTTAGAGGCAAACAACCTAGGTCCCTCCGGGTAATGCCACATGGGCGCGCATTTGGTCCGGGTGCGGCTCCCCCTTCTCTGGCGCCGTCCGGACTCTACTGCGTACACAGCCGCAAGCCAAGCCCCCAGGAGAAAGATCGACTCGTCCGAACTTGTTGTCTTTCGCGGTAAACAGCGATAAGCTCCGAACCCCCAAGGCCATCCGAGAAACACCGTTTTGACGGGCTCCCTCCCGCACATGTCTATACCTACGCTCTCAGTGCCCTGAATGCCTGATTAACAGCTGGTCCTGCAGTAGCAGAAGCAGCCAGCCTGCAGGCCATCGCTGGACCGGCGGTAGCTCCATCTGCCCTCAGTCCTGACGAGGCCTATGACGCGTTCAGGATTGCCACTTGCCCACTGGCCTCTGCTGCCAGCACTGCCCCAGTGGAGAAACGGAACAGAAGGAATCGCAGATTCGCACTGCACAGAAAAGGCTCTTCCTTGGAACCAGTTCGAGGGGGGAGGGAGAAGGGGGGAGGGATTTCGGATAGCGACCAGGTTGAATGGTGATTGTGTTCCCACCTGGTGGACCGGGTCGCCGTATCCGTTACGCTGAGCGGCTTGAACGGGCTTCCGCTGGGTTTAGCTGGGAAGATCTAGACCCCATCGGTTCCTGGCACTCCCACTTTCAAACACCCCGGCGGCGTACGGGCCGTTGTGCGGCAGCGGCACTGGGATCGGAACATGGGAGAAGAAAGATGGGACGCCGTGAGTACGAAGTCTCTAATGAGCTGTGTTGCACTGCCGAGGAAACATCCTGCGAATATTGGAAGGGCAATATGGTAAGCGAAGGGAGGTGAAAGGGAAGAACTCAGGGAGAGATGGAATGATGCTCCATTGGCACAATGCATAGCAAAACCCAGCCAGGCGCCTCGATCACCTTGCCTGTTATCCTGACTTTGCTGTTCTTGAATGGTATGTGTCCGTATCCGTACAGGCAATCTCCAATCCCTCACTTCACAAATGCTGTGATGTTGTCTCCATCAGGCTGTCTCCATCGGATGATCTTGACGATTGAATGCGTCTATGCTGCATTTCGATGCTCCCAGATATCGAGTCGTCAACCCTCTTCCGAGAGGCTTGCAGATAAGACCAGAACACAACTGAGGGGTTTTCGGGTGCCGAACTTTGCATGCTGACAGCAGGTTGAAGGACGAATAGGACGTCGATGAAGGGGTATTGCGACTATAGGGCTTGGATATGCAACGTCATGGAAGGCAAGCAGTGACGACTGTCTCTGAAGTTCGGGGGCGTCAACTCGCCTGTTCATGAGCATTTGGGTGAGAGATTTAACTTTATGCACTCGGACGCCTCCACCGGATCTCCACCAGGGAAAGTCTCTGCTTTGGTCGGAGTCATGGAGAGAAATTGAGAAAAGCAAGAAACGAAAATCTGGAGTTGGTACCGCTCTAGACTTCTTATCACGTCTGGAAGGGTTCGAAAAACCTGAATCCGGTCCAGCGGACAACAAAACACTGCAGGTAAGCAAGGCAGAACTTTGTGCGATTCTGCAGGTCGCTTGTGGACTTGTGGACGGGCAGCGTCGATCTTCCCGTCATAGCTTGTGCTTCTCTGGAGTGTCCCGTCGTGCAAAGTTGGAGTGTGGTGGCACTTTGTGGGTGCCATGTTTGTGGTCCACCGACCAAGTCCAAGATTTCGTGTTCCGGTTCCAGGTCGAGGTCCAGGTTCCAGGCCCAGGCGCTGGAGCTAAGTTGACTGTTCCTGACATGGCGGCAAGCCTCTTCCCCTCTCTCACGCAGCCAGAAACCTAACGTGCGGGTGTGCCTGGCCGGCGCGCTTTTCCTGCCGGCATTTGTTGGTGTGGGATCCATGGGGCGTACGGAAAAGAAGGGGACTTTCACTCGACTCGAGAAAGGCACTGATGCGTTGTCCAACAGCAACGGGATGTTTTCATCTCAGTGTGTGTGTGATGTGGCTTTAAGGCGCTGAATATCCGCATCACCCCAAGATGAGATGGAAATACTTTTGATGACGATCCATCAAACCAAACAAACCCAAGCTTTAGTATCTCATCTTCCCAGTCGATAATCACCCATTGGCAGGTCCGCCGTGTAACGGTCTAGTGATGCTTGGCTTCTGGTTGGCTTGTCAATGGAATGTTACTGCGACCTTGAGGGAGGGATTGGCTTGGACTCGAACCTGGGACCAAGCTTTGGCTGGCCGTGGCCCTTTTGGAATTGGCGTGCGGTGAAATTACCTTCCCCACCCCCTTTTCCCGCATCACCGTCCAATCCTGCCCTGGCGCCGGCGGTGCACCATGATCCATCCATGGCCCATTTCCCTCCACCATCCGACTTACCCATGTCTCCCTACTGGTTCCTGGCTCCCACACGTCAAGAGGGAAGTGTGTGTGTCTGTGTGTGCGTGTGCCTGAGTTGGCAGAGCCAAGCTGGCAAGCAGCGAGAGAAACAGAGATTGTTCCTGGCCCGGCCTGTCTGGCCCTGGAACCAGCGATGCCCCTCTCCACATCGCCCAGCCCTCTCGGTCATCACTTCTGGACCTTTACCCGTTTTGGTGTCTGTTCCTGGCTAAGCAGGGTTGTTGACGGGTTGTGATGGGCTGTTGATGGTGGATGATAGAGCAGAACGCGATGTCTTGGTGACGACGCCCCTGTCAACACACCAAGTTCCCCCAGTTTGACAATGTCTCTTGCTAACACGCCTCGCAGAAGGGCGCTTCGAGTGAGATTATTTCCATCCCTTCAAAATGGCTCTCATCTCCCTCCCTTTTCTGGCACATCCCGGTTTCTGGTTTTTTTTTGACACCACCACTCTCTCTTCAAACCATCGTCCAAATCCGCGAGTTATCTTGATAACCCGCTGTCACTCTTTTCCGGACGGGTCTAGCAAACAAACACAACTTTTAGCATTCTTAACCACCAACGAGTTTTACGAATCTCTCCACGATCTCCCGATAGTTCAAGATGCACTTCACCTCTGCCGTCGTCCTCGCGGCCGCCTTCGCCGGCGTGTCTGCCCACCCTTCTGCCCACAACCACCAGAAGTTCCACGAGCGCCGCAGCGCTGACGCCGTCGAGGAGCGCGACCTGACCTTCATCAAGAACATCCTCCCCTCCACGACTCCCTCTTCCACCTCTGCCGCCCCCGCCGCTACCTCTGCCGCTTCCACCGGCGGTGTCTACACCCCCTTCTGCAGCGGCTCCAACAGCAAGCGCGCCACCATCGCCGAGATCGCCTACTCTGGCAACACCGGCAGCGCGGACAACTGGGGCTGCAACATGCAGATCGTCAACGACGCCAGCGTCTCCCTCTACAACTACACCACTACCTTCACCGCGAGCGATGCCGACTACTCTTGCTCGTGCTTCAACAAGATCGGCCCTAAGGGCCTGATCGACGGCTGCTGGTTCGCCGCGATTACTTTCACCGTCAAGGAGGGTCAGTCCAAGAACGTCGCCTTCGACGCCGACTCCCAGGGCTCATGCGCCTGCGGCTCCGGCTCCACGGTCCCCAAGACCCCCATCGGCCAGTTCGCTGGCACCTGGCTCGAGTTCGACTGGGGCTCCACCCCCAACGGCGGCAACTCCGGTGCCGACGCCTCCGTCCTCGTCGCCGGCTCCCAGAGCATGGCTTACTTCGGCATGAAGGTCGCTGCCAACGGCAAGACCTGCTCCTGGGTCAAGTCTGACGGCACCAACGAGGGTGCCTACATGCCCGGTATGGAGGCTGAGGATGGTGTCGGCTGCAAGGGCTACTACAAGGGCCACCTGGACGTCACTCTCGGCGACAAGTTCACCGCGTAAGAAAGGTTCATCCTTTTCTTTCCGCCTGGTCCAGTCTTCTTCCCTTGCCTGGGGTGAGTTTTTCGTCGGGGAAAGGGGGTCATCTCACACAAAACCCACGCAAAAAAACCTCGCCACGATGACGAAGCCCAGTAATGGATGTTTTCCTTAATCTTCAGAGCTTCTTGACGGCGCATGGGATACCTCTTTTCTTTCGGGGCACATATTTTGGATGGTGCGGCCTATTTGCCATTGCCCCTCGTGCCCACCACCAGCCTTTTCTGCTTTGGACATTTGTGCAGATTTCTCGGGATATGGGAAAAAGCGTTAACGAACAAGACGGTTGGTTTAAAGGGACGCCTTGTTCAACGGAACGGTTACATAAATCTAGTCCCCCTACCTACCCACACATATACCTAGTGTCTGCTGCTTAATGCGACATTGAAAAACTCATTCTTTAACACCTACTTAAGCTTGCCTCCCCATCTGTGCTCTGCGTTCATGTATCGTTCATCCCGTCATTCGTCTCAAATTTGATTAGCAGTGGGCTTGCCGTGTCTAGCGAGGCACAGCTGGGGATCAAGCTTCAGAACCGTTTCATCCACGACATGGGATGTCGGCAATGCTTGTACGACCCGATCGATTCACTGTTATCATCACCTGAGTCATTTATCTGGCTGTCTCTCAAATCTAATGACAAGCCGGAAGCAGCCTCTCATACCAGTAGGGTTCTCAAGTCCATGGACCTAATGTTGATGTATACAAGGCATACGGCATGCTTTTTGAGTGCTTTACATTCCGTTCTGTCTACCCCGCCGCCCCCAACAGCAAAGAAAACAACCCCACCCCTCATATTCAGTGGCAGTCGCAGTCACATGCAGCTTTTAACCCACCGAGAAGCGTGTTCCTTGCCAAGAATTTCATCTGCATACATTGAGGCTCTCATCTACGGTACCTAGCTGGAGTGGTTGGGATCACTGAGGCTTCCTTCCCTGTTCTGATATTATCATCAACGACAGAGACCATGGTCACCCCCATGACAGCGTTATCAGCGGACTCTGTGAGCAGTATCTTATTGGTACCGAATCTTGACTTAGCATCAAACTCAGGACTCTTCTTGTGGCTGTTGTAAGTGATATGAGTGAGGTTCCTATGGATGGAAATCTTAGAATGAGTCTTCTCTTTCCCATCCGTAGCCGCTACGGTTTCCCGCACGTGCCCCACTTTAGTTCCGTGGTGGTGCCACACTGAACGACTTTTGCTGCTGAGTTAATTTTTGGTTCAACATCATCTCATCCAGCAGTGTAATTCAACAACTCATACTCATCACCACTAGCACAACGAAAGCTCTGCATGGTGCTGAAACTGACGCAATGAACGAACTTTCGATTCAGCCCTCGGGCATCTTCTGGCAAGACGATTATATTACAGCCGAGCATGAGGAAAAGTTAGTACACATTTTTCGCAACGAGCTATTATGGCCAGACCGATCTGGGCGACTGTCTCTCCACTACGGCTACACCTTCGACTACAAAACATTCGGCGTGGATCCCAACGTTCCCTTCAGCCCTTTCCCGGACTGGCTGGAGCCGTTAATTCCTACACGCGAAGGCAGACCACCGGACCAAGTTTGCCTGCAACACTACCCACCCGGCGCCGGCATCCCGCCCCATGTCGATACTCATTCCGCATATGATCAGCTATATGCGCTATCTCTAGGATCGCCCGTCATGATGCAATTCGCCTTGCCACCAGACGATGGCGAGGAAGGAAGGATGGTGGAAGTAGATCTTACCCCGAGGAGCATGTTGCAGATGTCGGGAGACTCAAGACTGCATTGGAAGCACGGAATCAGGAAACGGAAGACGGACACGTTGCCTGATGGGACGGTGCGGAAGAGAGAAGATCGGTGGAGTATCACGTATCGGTGGATCAGGGAGCCGGCCGTATGCGGCTGTGGGAACGCAAAGCTCTGCGACACTGCGCAAAGAGAACTAGGCATTGAGAAGGAGTATCGTTGGAAGAAAGGCGACGAGGATATCGTAGCGGGCGAGGAAGAGAAGATAGAAACCAAGGCTTCTTGAAATGATTGGAATGGTACTTACACGGAGTATTGATGAAACAGAAATAGAAAGAGGGGTTATACATGTCTTCACTTGTTCATGAGTCGTACGCTAAAGACAGCAGATGATACCTAGTCTATTGCTTTTGAGCTATGGAAGTTTGCAACCATACCCTCTACGCTAGTGAGCACTCTACCATGGTAGTGATCGTGCGAAATTGGAAGAACCGGCTGATTTTCAGACCTGCTTTTCGAAGAATCAACTCGAGCTCTGGCACCGATCTTTCCTTGCCGCCGAAGAAGAACAAAGTATTCCATGTCATCAAGTTGGCAAGGTCCGGAAGCCTTGACTGTTGATGAGGTGTCAGAGTAGACGGGGCCGTATTCTGATTACTGACAATGAACGGAGTCGAGTTCCATATCTCGTTAATCACCATCCGTGAGCCCAGAGTTCTTTTCATGGAGTTCGCAACGTTGGTAAGTATCTTGACAGCGTCTTCATCATCATACTCGCGCCTGAAATGTGTCAGTATGTCGTAGCGGGGCGGTTTATACGCAATTCGGAAACCACTAGTACTCACAGAACTCCTCTGAGGTACCATATGTCACCCTCTGCTGCGTTCTCTTCGAAGTAGTCCTGTATGACACATTCGACTTTTCCTTCCGCAGCCTTTTGTGCAATATCCTCGGGCAGGTTCTGTTTGGGACGTCAGTACCGGCTTACAGTTTTATACCACGCGCAACTCACGGTCTTCAAGCTCTCGATGGCCGGCTGAAGGTCCTGGAAAGTCCAATGAAGCTCCGGATTGTTCCTCATTATGTCAAATCCGCTGTCACCTGGACCGCACCCGACATCAACAACTCGAGCTTTGGGGTTCTCATGCCAGGGGTAGTCATTGAGAAGCGCTGGCCTAGTTGTCCTCTATAACAGACGTGTTGTTAAGCCAGAGTCAAATTTAACGACATGTATACCGGAGCACACTTACGTTGAGCCATGGTACAACACCCTTGATCACCTTAAGCGCAGCCCTAGAGTTCTCGGGATGACCAATGTGCTCGAAGAAAGTTTCGCCATTCTGTGCTACTGTGAAACAGAATGGAGCATCTGTGGCCAGAAAAGAGTCTTTGGTCTTGATATCTGTCATATGAGACAGCAGACCTGCAGAGCTCCTTAAGCCCTCGTCCGCTCTTCGCTTGTTAGACCACTGATAATGCACACCCAGGACCGTGATTGGAGCTTACAAGAGGGACAGAAATAGAGCAGCACTTCCTTCCTTTTCGAGAGTCTTACTATGCCGCGTATTGCTGAAAACACCTGGATGCTTTTCTTGGTAGATGTACTCAGTAGCCAAAGTTCTCAAGACCCTTCCTAGAATGATAATTAGTGGGCTTTGGACGTTAGAAGCGGCGTAATACGGGCTGCTTGTGTACCTAGTTTCTGCTCATTGACATTCAGTCGGCTAGCTAAATCCTCGAGCTTCGCATCACCCCCAAGATCTTTGATCACATCTGTGATACCAAGGGACACTGCCACATTGAGTGCATTCGTCCGCGCTGGTTGCAAACCCATCTCAAGCAGCTTGATGTGGTTGGGCGTGACCGCTGCATCGAGAGCGCGAACGTCAACGCGAATCTTCTCAATAGCCTCAAATGCTTGCCAAGAGATCAGATGTTCGGGGTCATCGAACTTTGTAGAAGCTTCCGGGTCCCATACTTGGGGGGTTCCTAGATCGTGTTGTCGGACTTCATGTTCGAGAACAGCAATATTGTCCCGCAAAGATTGAAGGAGAATTTGGAGGAAGGACATGATGAATACGTGGGTTCTTTCGACACTAAGTGAGTCGATATGTTTGCAATAGCACGGAAGCTCAAACGCATTTTGAACAGGCCGACGACACCATCTATTGATGTATTCAAGGCCATCCTATGCATGTGGAGGGGGCGAACCGATGCCTTGTGGGGTAGGTCGCCTACCCCACAAGGCATGTAAGTCGACGACTTTGGATGACCTGTTTGAAGATGGTTTAAAGCAACATCGAAGGACCACTCTGAAAGTAAGTCGTTGTCAAATTCCAATCATTACTTGTTCTCAACTTTGTTCTCAACTCCTCTTCATCAATATTAACTTCCCCGAAATCCCTCTTCATGTCTCATCCCCTGAAAGTCACGATAGTCGGCGCAGGCCTTGGAGGTCTGGCATGCGGCATTGCGTGCCGTCGTCAAGGCTATGATGTCTTGATAGTTGATCAACTGAAAGAATTCCTGCGCCTTGGTGATAGTATCGGCTTTGGCTCGAACTCGGCAAGGCTTCTTTATCGTTGGGGAGTCGGGTCCAGAATGGAGCCAATTGCAAGTCAGAGTACCGAGATGCGCATCTATAACTTCGATTCATCCGACAAAGTCCTTGGCATCGACGACCAAATTGGAAAGTCCGTGGAGAATTACGGATGCCGCCAAATCATCGGTCACAGAGGCGACTTCCACCTCATTATGAAGGACTTCGCTCTCGAACAGGGCGTCAAAATCCGGCTTGGCGAGCGAGTCGAAGTCTACGATCCCAGTCAACCTAGCATAACCCTTTCCACAGGAGAAATAATTCAATCAGATGTCGTCATCATCGCGGACGGCGTCAGAAGCAAGGGACGCACGACTGTGCTGGGTTATGAAGATAAACCTCAGGCAAGCGGATACGCCATCTACCGATCATTCATGAGCGGTGACCTCCTTCGCGATGACCCTTTGACCAGTAAATTCCTCAGAGATGGTGATTCAATCCGATTGTTCCTGGCCAAGGACTCTCATGGGTTCATTAGCACTCTGCAGGGTGGAAAAGAGATCAATGCGGTCTTGACTCACAAAGACGTTGGGGACGTCGCGGAGAGTTGGACTAAAGAGGCCACCAAAGATGATGTGTTGGCATGTCTAGAAGGATGGGATCCTGCTGTCAGAAGAGTGTGGGAAAAGATGCCTTCAGTCATTGACTGGAAGCTCGTGTACCGCCCTTGCCTCGACAAATGGGTCGCAGACTCCGGGCTAATTACTTTGATGGGTGATGCTGCACATCCCTTTCTACCCACTTCGACTCAAGGTGCTAGTCAAGCCATCGAAGACGGAGCCACCATAGCCAAATGTCTCTCAAAATGTGCAGGCAATATCCCCCTAGCCTTGCATACCTACTTCGAAATCCGACACGACTACGTTGCCGAAGCACAGGCGACTGGGATCAAGCAAAGAGAAATATGGCACAACTTGCATGATGAGGACAGCAAAGCTTTCAAGGAGGAATTCGACATCAACGCCACCATGATGCAGAATCTGTATCTTTGGGAAAACGATGCTGAAAGATTGGTCGATGAGAAGTGGGATGAGGTGTCGGAAATTGTCAAGCAGAGGCTTAGTGTTAACAGTGGTTGAAAGGCGCGGACACGAAAAGACTTTAGATCAATAGTCATCGCAGACAAGACCTTGTATCAAATATCCAAAACATAGCACCTGCTATGATATGATATTATTTCAAATAACAGTCCACCTAAGATTCATTCATAGGTTGAGTAAACTCGGGAAAATAACACTGTCAAACTCATCGCCAACAGACTTGGATTTCGACTTAACCCACGCAGAGGGATTAGGACTGGCCGGATTCCGGTCAAACCGTGCAAACACACCGCTGCAAAGCCAAGACATTAGCGACAAGCACTTTTCCACGCTTCGTACAACATAAGAACAGCGGCCCTTTGGAAAGCGCCCCATCTACGGATACACCTGTTGAGTCAGGCCTGAATCAGCACCGCCTACCCCGGGTCCTAGCGTCACGGATCCCCGCAACTCCATGTCCGTTCCTTCAATTGCCGAAAGCGCTGAAGACAACTTCCATCTTTCTTGATTCGCCAGTAATATCCCTACTTGCTCACCGCATCTGGGAGAAGAGACGAGGACGACAGAACAGACGGCATAGAGGCTATATTAGCGGAAATGAGTCGACAACGAGACAACGCCCGTTCGTCTCCACGAGAGATGAAGAAGTCGGCCTTTAGGCGGGGAGTTAGAAGCTGTGAGCACCCGTCCACCTCTCTTGATGACGTAAGAGCAACTTTCTGATACACCCTGAACATGAAGCAAGTGAAGATGGCCAAGCACAGCCGGGGCGCCCGCGTCCACATACGTGCACCTATTGCCAGAAAACATTTATCAGGGCGGAGCATCTCATACGACACGTTGCGTCACGTAAGTCTACTGGTCACCTCGTCCATCGGATCTTTCAGCTGATTAAATTGGGCCAGATGAGAACCGAAAGCCTTTCAAATGTCTGCCCTGCGGCGCTAGTTTTGGCAGGACAGATGTTCTACGTCGACATCAAAAGAAGTGCCCAGGGAAGCCTGCTCAAAGTTTACCGACATCACAACATGAAGAGGGCTACACTCAGGCCTGTGCAGAACATGATCCTCGAAAGTCACTAGACAATATTTTGATGTAGGCCGAGAAGTTAATTTGAGGTCCTGGTCATGAATACCTTACTTACATCGAACTCTCAGGTTAGAAGGGCGTTGCCAGCCAGTTGATCAGACTGAACCACAAAGAGATCTCAATGATGTGGAGAATTCGGGTGTGACCACTAGTCCCATTGACAGCCGAACAGACGAGATCAGTACTGCGAACCTGGCTGTTCCTCAGGGCGGTGAATCCAGTGATGATTCTATCGTTGTTCGCCAATCAGGAGATGAAGATACAGCCGAGTCTGAGTTGAGCTCGCCTCAATCGAATGTAGATCAGAGTGCTACAATAAGCAAGGCCGATCTTGCTCTGGATACCACTATCGCCGCTCAGCAAGTTGACGAAACAGGTCGACTCAGCCAAGAAGCCTCTCTAGAGAACACTGAATCCACCACATCTGAGAACAATCCTGGCTCGGGGGAACAGCATGTCAATCTCTCCGACTTTCTGATGCTCGGAGACTCATTCATATCTGAGATCCACCCAGACGATTTCGATTTGAGGGGCGTCACAGACTTGATGTTTGACTTCAATACCAACGCCATCATCTCACCCCCTTCTGCAGAGACATGCATCCTCTTAGATCCAAGGCGACGTGTAAGACCAGCCTCGCTATCCTTCGACGCTCCCGAAAGCCTACCTCAGTACCAATCTTCCTATGACACACCTCATCTGTTCAGTTGCTCGGATGACGATGCCATTGCAGTCAACAACGCTTTCGCCAAGGCAAAGGGCACTACAATTAGCACTTCAGACTCAATCTGTCTCAGTCGCAATCAGATTTCACGTTGGATCAACGCGTACTTCGAACACTTTGACATACATACGCCCATAGTGCATCGGCCGACTTTCATCCTTTCAACTACTCCAGGTAGGCAACATACGCAGTAGGCAGCAAAGAGGCTTGACTAACTAGTTGCGACACTATCTTGCAGCATCTTTGCTTTTGGGCATGCTGGCCATCGGTGGCTGCATTGTATCAGAGCATGGTCCTGCTTCTAAGGCCTATGAAGCTTCCTGCCATCTCCTAGCTCAGGTGCGTAGCTCAACCTTTATGTCTTTCGTCCCTCTGTGCTCGGTTCTCATTCTGCCTCCAGTACGAGCAAGACCTCTTGCAAAGCTCTATCTCAGATTTGTGGCCAATACAGACTGCCCTATTGTGTATTCAGTTTGGGGCCTTTTCAGCCAACCCCCGGTATGCGCGACAAGCGCAACGACAGTTCTCGCTTGTAACAGATGTAAGTCAGGCGTCTTTGAACCACTGGCTTTGAAGTAATCTCACAGTCACCTTGTTCTGATGTTTTCAAGTTACTGCGCGCAGTAGAAGTTCAAGTTCGCGGAGTCCAGTCAGCTCAGGACCCTGATTGGAAGGACTGGGTCTTCATAGAGACGTTAAGCAGGTCAGTGAGCGTCTGGTCCCCCACTGATGCAATACGATATCTAACTCCCTGCATTTATATGTACAGACTTGCAAGCTGGACTTGCATTCTGAACGCTGCCATATCGCTCCTCGACCCTGAATCAACATGTGTCGCCGCACCTCAAGTAACAGCGGAAATGATCGTCCCCTCAAACGACAGCCTCTGGCGAGCACCGTCAGCCGAAGAATGGGCCCACAACAAGGAATGGCAGGCGTACAAACCAGTCAATCTCGTCGAAACTTCGAGACGAGTTTTCACTGGCGAGTATCCCGCGGTAGCCATGAGCTCATTTGGACTTCTCACGTTGATTGGGGCTCTCGTGGCGAACATTTGTGCTAGAGAACGGTACTCTCCTGAAATGGCCCCCATCCTTGATCGTGAGTATTGTGCAAAGATAGAGAGGAGCCTTCAAGCCTGGGAAACTCTATGGCACAGTCACCCTCACGCTGGAGGCTCGCAGAGCATGAAGAGCGATCCCAAGATGACGGACTGTCTATGTCTGCTAAGCTCTGCGTACCATCATCTTTACATGGGCCAGGAGCTCCAGATCCTGAAGAGAATCGCGAAAGAACCTCAATGTCATCTGGCAGTCCCCAATTTCCCCACTGAAAGGAAAGTTCTTGTTGTTATCAAGTACGCTACGACTTCTTGGTTGGCGGATACCGTGACAGGCATCGCTCATAGGCAGCGGAAGGCGGCATTCGAATTCGGTGGGCTTGGCCCAATGGTAGCATATGAGACTGGTAAGCAATCATGTTCCGGATCGTCATTTCAAGAGTTGAATTGCTGATGGGTGACATGTTCGTCCTTTTTTCGCTTAGCGCTGATTATCTCGTGGTGGCTGAGTCTTCGGCAAAGTCTTACATCACCACCTTCTGTCTCTGTCCTAGAGGGGGAGAGAGAAAGCTTGGAAGCCATCGGCCACTTGTTTCAAGACATTCTGAAGGAACTAGATGAGCAGTGCATCACGTTCGATGGAGACCTTTCGGATCTACGTTCCCGAGCCCTGTTCCACTACCAAGTGTTGTTGGGGCAGTGGGTGTGGCCGTGTGAGTACTTTTGTTTTCCCTATCTTTCTCGCTTATCTATTTGCTAAGCCACGCTCGACGCGTAGACACGAATGCCATGAACCACGCCCTGCAAGCCCTTGCATCTTGACTGTCCCAGGGAGAAGAAGCCTGACGTTTCGCGTTATGACGGCGCGGCTCTCACGAAAAGCTTGGCAATGGGGTAGCAGCTCAATTCGTGGAGTCGCAGAAAGACTATGATGTGGGGTCGCGGATGCATCCGTAGTGAAAGACACCTTGGACTGGTGATTGGTCCGCCCGACTGGTTCCTGAGCAAAAGTTCCCAACGGTTTCCATAGCTATCATAAATACCCTTGCTGAAACATGGCGTAAAATCCATGAAATAGGTACCAGGTTCAGTTCACGAGCAATTTCGACGGATCGAAAAACGGAAACAATGAACGAATCAGCATCTTTGCTTGTCTCTCCATCCACCTGAGTTGGTCCGTAAGCGGACCGTCGAACTAACCTTGGGTGGTGGAAACACAAGGATCAAGCAACGGCTTCAGCTTGTCAGGGTGCACTAGGTGCTGTGTTGACAGATCAAGCTTATTTTCGCAAGAGAAATCACCACTCTTCGTATCGAGAAGGCTGAATTGGGTGACAGAGAAGGCTGTCGAATAAGACATTCAGCTGGTCATGGGGAAACAATCGGATGATATCGATCTCAACACACCAGATCATCTCGTGGGCTGTGCTTCTAGCTTTCAGGTTACTGAATTCAGGTCATGCCCAGCATCAAGCTCCTGCCAGCATAGTCCAATTTGTGTATATATGGATTCTGCGACTTCAATGGTTCAAGCGCATGATATCTAAGCAGACAAGTCTTGTTATCATATCAATATAGTATTGCATCTATCACTTGAGTCTCATACTGTGGACATCTTCATTGTTCTACATCTTCACTCTTTGTTTAGAAGCAAATATCTTTTTCATTCGCTATGGCATACCCTGAGAATGTTGGCATCAAAGCCATGGAAATCTACGTCCCTGGACAGGTCCGCATCTCCTTCTACAAATTCATACATCATCTATCAGAGCTAACATCAATCACTCCAGTGCTTGGACCAGTCTCTCTTTGAGCAGCACCAAGGCGTCTCAGCGGGTAAATACACCATTGGCTTGGGCCTCAAATACATGAACTTCTGCAACGACCGTGAGGGTAAGTTATCGCCCGTCCAGGGCACTCTTACTTCGGCCAGGCTCTGGGTCTGGCATCCTCTACATCAGCGATAGCTACTGACTAGCTTAGATGCATCTTCCATGGCCCTCACTGCCATATCTTCGCTCATGCGAAAGTACGACATCAACCCCAACTCGATTGGCCGCCTCGAAGTTGGCACCGAATCCTTGGTTGATAAAGCTAAGTCTGTCAAGACAGTGCTGACCCAGCTCTTCGAGCCTGCCGGGAACACCAGCCTGGAAGGTATCGACACCATTAACGCATGCTACGGTGGCACGAGCGCCTTGTTCAACGCTGTCAACTGGGTCGAGTCCAGATCATGGGACGGCCGAAACGCTATCGTTGTTGCGTCAGACATTGCCTTGTACAACGAGCCCGCCTCTCGTCCCACGGGCGGTGCCGGTTGTGTCGCCATGCTCGTGGGCCCAAATGCGCTGCTTTCAATGGAGCCGGCGCTCAAGGGAACCTTCATGACCCATGCCTACGACTTTTACAAACCTGATCTCAAAGCAGAGTTCCCTCTGGTTAATGGACATGAGTCGCTTCGGTCGTACATGTCAGCACTGGACGGTTGCTATCAACGTCTTCGTGAGAAGGTAGAAGCAGCTAACCAACGCACAAACGGACTTGGGCCGAAAACTGATACTGACAACCTGCTGAACATATTCAACTACATGGCATTTCACACCCCCAACTGCAAGATTGTGAGCAAGTCGTATGGACGACTGTTGTACAACGACTTCCGACTGGATAGTGACAAGAGCCGATGGGAGGCGACGTTGACGGAAGAGCTCCGCGGGCTCAGCTACGAGGAGTCTCTGAAGAGCAAGGAACTTGAAAAGATCTTTGTCACCCAGTCCAAGGATCTCTTTAAAGCGAGAGTTGAGCCCTGCATTGCCGCTCCCACTTTATGCGGCAACATGTACACAGCTAGTCTGTACTGCTCTCTCATCAGCTTGATCAGCCACATCGATCTCAGAGACAGTGTTGGGAAGACTATCGGCATGTTCAGTGTAAGTCTTGTAATATTCATGGGCGAATATCTTGCTGACGAGAGACGCGACATTAGTATGGCAGCGGTATTGCCAGCACTCTCTATGGGCTCAAGATTACGGGAGATCTCAGCGAGATGGTCCAGAAGATTGATCTTATGAAGCGTCTCGAGCAACGTGAAATTTGTACGCCTGAGCAGTATGAAGAGGTGAGAGTGAATCTAACCCTGGGTTTTTGCGAGCCGCTACTAATCACTAATTCGCAGGCCTGCTTTCTCAGATTGAAGGCATATGGCGCCAAAGGCTATGAGCCTGCTGGAAGTATTGAAGTCATGGCTCCTGGAACGTACTACCTGCAGAGAGTTGACGATGCTTACCGCAGGTTCTACGCTGTGAAGCCGTGAACTCCCGCCTATGGTACCCTCAGCTCAGGTCTTGGTTTATAATAAGACTTTAGTAGTAGCTTGGCTTAAAGGAGGAGGACTCGGCTTAGAACATCAATGTAGATAGAATTCCAAAAGTTTCTAAGATAATTTCGATTAGGTGGCCTCTATATTCATGCTAGCTTCAGATTGCAAGCCTGAAATGCATTACCCTAAAGCGAACGACAATGTAGCCGATGCCCACTGACCAGATTACCTAGCTTGGACTGCTTGTAGTGTTTAATCTAGGCCCCTTTCATCCACAGGCTTCCATCAGCATTTTTTAACTCGAAAGGAATCAGATGAAATAGAAGGGCTAGGCTTGGGAACTACGCTAGATTGAGTCTGCTAGTCCTACGGTTTGGGGCTGCATCATTAGCAACTAACCCGCCGTCGACGCAGTAACTCTAATGGTCGATCTGAAGACAAAGATTCAAGGTAACCCGTCGGCTGCAAATTCAGGCCAAAGCACTTTACCTTCCCATAACAAACGGTCTTCCGAAGTTGTTCGAAGCTTATCCTAAGTGCTCACTTGAGCTGATCTTGCAGCTATTTATGTAAGACTAGAACTTGAGATCTTTGACTCTCGCGTTGGTAATTTTCTTTGGTCCTCTCTAGATGCCCGGGCTTGATTCCGTATCTGATCTAGAGACATGCAGCCGCAATGCTTGTATACCGGCTGAAGTTAGTAAATAAGATAGATCTACATCTTTGGCTCAAGCTTCACTGAAGAGACGGATCATCCTTGCGTTTCTTTCTTCGGCTCTTGTAGAGATCCCTTTGCCGTGGTGGACCCTAGAATTAATAGCCAAAGCCGGTCATGATAGCAAATGACTCGGACATCATTGATCTGCTACCTCAGATAGGTTAAGTAGGACCCCAATGCAAGCTGTCCTGTCTCGATCCCGGCTCTGCCTGCAGCGTTAAATGTCTTCTCGGGCCCAATCCCGATGCCGAAACCCCTCCCAACTTTCGAGTCCCTCGAATCCGTCTCCCCCACTGAGTGGAGAAATCTTGTGCCTAGAAGATATCAAGCAGGCTACGCCGACGGCCATCTTCTCCAATGCCTTACCCCCGCGCGACCTTTGGCTCGATCAATATGTCTCGTGTTAATTACCCCACCGTAGCCACGAAATAAGCTTTCTGGTGCCACTTGCTTGCTCCATGCCGAATCAACCGGACCCATGCTACTGAGACGTCAACGTCGGTCCGTCGATATAGCATGCAACAGACCCATTATGGGGGTTTAACAAGGGCAGATAAACCGCTCGCACTTTGCAAATTCCTTCGCGAATAAGCTTTTCACATGCATTTCGTTGCAGTAAGGAACATGGTTTCTGTCCTATGAGCGGAGTTTTCCCGCCACGTAGTATCCCAGAAACACCCTCACGTCGTCAAGCTGGTGGTCATTGCTGGAACTGGGGTTCTTTGCAAGTACTTCCTGTTCTAGTCCCTCCGAGCTGTTGAATGCAACATAGCCGGTGGGAGCGTTGACTATTGCAGTATCTCAGGCAAAGTCTCTCATCCGTGTAAGCCGCTACCAAGGACTTAGGGACGGGGGTTAGCCAAGTCCTGCAAGACGTAGACTATCTAGATAGTCGATTCATCAGCTGTTGCGCACCTTGAATGCAATCAACCAATTATATTTAATCTCGCTTATGTCTAGATCGCAGTTTGCCCTTAGATCGATGCCTTGGACACAGTTGGCGTACAATGCTATCGCTTGAACACAAATCTCAACCCCGCAACTCAGTTTTAGAGAGACAAGCTATGGATTCTTTTCAATCCGAATGCCAAAGGTCATGCTTTGTGAATGTTTCTTCGTAAGAGTCTAATGACTTGTAATCAATTTCTTGGCTTGAGAACAACATTCCAGTGACCAGTTGCAAACTGCATGGTGATGTACTGGCGGAAGTCTATGTCTTGATCCGGAACTTCCAGCACATCGAATCTTTGTAAGAGATTGGCGGCAACCATTCTCATCTCGGCCCACGCAAAGCTTTATCGACTCTATCAGCATAGTTGCTCGACAATAACGAGAAGCATTGTACTAAGACTTACTTGATACCAATGCACGAATGCTTGCCTCCAGAAAAGGGGTAATACGCGTCCATACTGGAGGCTTCGTTAGTACGAAGATTTTATTATGGGAAGGAAACCATTGGGACTTACTCAGGTGCGGGTGCCCCGTCTCTCTTGTCTTCGGATAGCCACCTCTCGGGCCAGAACCGTACTGCCTGGGGCCAGAAAGCCTCGTTGCGGTGAAGATCGCGGTATGAAGCCGAAACTACTGTGTGAGGCGGTAGATCATAGCCACAGAGGTTGATCCACTGATTGCCAGTCCGGCGGCCCATCTCCGAAGCAATAGGATGCAAGCGGAGGTTCTCCTTGATGCAGGCTTCGAGGTACTCGTATTCCTCCTCGTTGCGAACCGATTTGCTGGTCACAATCTCGTCGTTGAAGCCCTTGGACGGGAGAGAGGCGAAGAGCTTGGCGCGGACGTCGGGGTTACGGGCAAGCTCGAGAAAGAGGCAGCCGATAGTGCCGGATGTTGTTTCGGAACCGGCAAGGAGGATCTCGGCCATTTGGTCGACAATGTCGCGGACAGACATGCTAGTGCCGGTGTCAGGCTTTTTGCCCTCTTCGATAAGGTGCTGGAGGAGGTCTCGGCGCTCAACGTCCGGAGTGCGCTTGCGTCGTTGGACTACGGCGTCGATTGCTGTGATCATCTCGGCGGGCCAGTCGAATTGGAGGTCGATTCCCAGGGCGCGGAAGAATTTCTTGACATATACAGTCTTTGTACAAGTAAGCACTGAGGGAATCAAGACATTTCGTCTGTAACAAAAGATTGACTTGCCTGGTATCGCTTGCTGAGACCATCGAAAATGGAGCGAGGGATTGACTTCCAAATCTTCTCGTCAACTCCATCTTCGATTAAGCTATTGGGATTGGTCTGTCCGAACCCCTTGCCGAATGAACACTCTCCCATGCTGTTACTCAAGTAAGAAGCCGTGCAAGAGAAAGACCAAGATGGCTGCGGAAGTATTGGCTTACATGTCAAGGGCCACGTTGTGAAGGTCGTCCATTAAGTCGACCTCGATACCCTTTTTTGCATAGTGTACCGCATCCTCGTTGATCTGTGTCTGGTACTTGTTGAGCACGTCACGAACGGTGCTCTTGAAGAACATCTCAAGGTTGTCAATGTAGTTGACCGTAAAAGCAGGGAACAGGAAACGCTTAAGGCGCCTGTGCGGCTCTTGGCGACTTTTTCCAACGACGTTGAGTTAGGCTCACGTTGCAAGTGCACATTGTGGGCAGAAAAAAAGGGAACGACTTACATCTCGCCAAATAGTCCGGGACTGAATTTGTCTCTGGAAATTTCGGCATACATGGCAACTTTGGGAAGATCCGTCTTGACCAAGATCTGTTTCATGGCCTCCTTGTCAGAGATCCAGACCTGTCGGGGGCCGAGTCGGATAATCGGCCCATATTTGTTGTGGCTTCTCTCTACCAACTTCCAGATGGTTCCGGTTGAGAAGAGATAACGTAAATGCAATGTTGTGAGAGGAGCATACCAAGGCCCAGGAAGTTTTCTCAGGGGAGACTTGAGAGCTTTGATCTTCTGTTTGAGTTGAAGACCGGCGAGGACAACTACTAGGAAGTAGACGGCAAGTATGTAGGCCAACGCCATTGTGTCGCCGTTGTTGATCGTCTTGATCAGGGCAAGATGCTAGCGATGCTTTTTCAATGATTGAATGACTGGTGGATGATGAGATGAAAGGTCAGAGACAATAAGAGAACAGAGGGACATAACAATCTTTGACAGGAAGCGGGCGATGATCTTCTATGACATGAGACCCGGAGCCATCTCCTCGGGATGATATAAGACGAACACACATAAGTCTGCAGGAGCTATTTCGTGATCTAGACCCCCCGCTAGCCCCGGTGCTTCCTGCTGAGAGGTTGCGCAAGCCAACCCAGACCGGAGGTTACGGTACGTGGCTGGATCTGCACAACAGTCCGAGGCTCCTTTGAATTGCACGACTCAGTTCAGATGTACATGTAGCCATCGTCAGCCTGCGAGGCTGTCGTGAATATGCTGCGCGCACTGTTTCAAGCTGTGTAAACTCTGTTATATTAGCTCGGATGATGGGAGCCCAGGGAGCTGGGCTTGTTGCGCTTTTCCTTCGGTCTGGGAACAAGCGAGTTCACCAACATGGCACCCAAGAGACGACGCAAGCGCGAATCGGATGGTCCAGAATGGTACACACTCATTGACTGGGCTACTCCTTGGCTGGAAATCGCGTGTCATGCAAATTAAGCGGGAACATGGAGATAGGTTGCACTCGATCCCCAAATCTGATGTGCTTGGTGTAAACTCTGTTCAAGTGTAATCCCATGTTACTCATTTCCAGTTATCTCGCGGTACTTCCTTTCCTTTTCAGGAAACCATTTGGCAAGGTCGCCTATTGCCCAAAAATACTCATTAACTTTAACGCGTCTGTCATCACGAGAACCTAAAAACGAATATCTCACATCATGGTGAACGACAAGACTGTGCCTTATTCACGGTGGAGATGCAGTTTCAAAAGAATTCTGAGCCTTGGCCCTGCCATTTGGTCGAGAACTTTTGGTCTATTTCCCCTTGTCTCTAAACTCCTTACGTGCTTCCGCTCTATCAAGCTTTGACTCTGCGGTCTTTGAGTCTAAAAATGTCTATGTCGTCTATGTCTCTTTATGTCCGTCTAAAGAAAACCGTGTTGCATTTTGTACAGCAACCACCCTCTATTTGGCCCATCTCATGGCGCCGGGGCAGTTGGGGTCGTTCTCGACATACTTGAGAGTGCCGAAAACGGACCAGAGCTGGCCGAGGAAGCTGCGGCCATCGTGGTTGTACAGGTCACCAAGGACAGGCTTGATGGCCTCAGTAGCCTCGTCAGCCTTGTAGAAAGGAATGCGGCTAGGATCTGTTAGCGATGGCTCGGGAGATTTCTCATGATGAGAGGCAAAACTTACGGGAACAGGTGGTGAACAACGTGCTTCTCAATGATGCCGTGGAAGAGGTGCTTGCCGATGAAGCCGAACTCACGGTCAACGGTGGCAATGGCACCCTTGACGAAAGTCCAGCCCTCCTCAGTGTAGTGGTGGACCTCAGGGTGGTTGTGGTGGAGGTAAGTGATGGCAACTGAGGGGTCAATTAGCACTATGATAAACACATTTGCTTGTGAAACCCAAATGCCAAGCTTCAAGGATCACAAGTGAAGGGGGAGGGGGGCGTACCGAGCCAGTGGTGGACCCAGAAGTAGGGGACCGCGTAGAGGAGAGCGACGGTGGAGACATCGAGGATGGTGGAAGCATAGTACAGGGCGGAGAAGGTGATGGCCAGGCCAATATCAGAAATGGCAATGAAGATAGCCTCATTGGGACGGAACACGGCACTGGTGGGGCCGAAGTGGCTGACACCCAGCCAACGTCCGAGACCGTTGACCTCACGCTGCAAGCTACCCTTGCCGGCGGTGGCATTGAAGAAGAGGTACGCCTGCCATCCGAAGAGCTGGTGGGTGAGCAGGTTGATGGCCTGGGCAATGGGCGTGTCCTCGAAGAGCTCGTGAAGGTCGATGCTTCCGAACAAGGGCTTCTTGGAGGGCTTGGGAGCGGTGGCAGGAACGAAGGCCATGTCTTTCTTCATGTGACCGGTGAAGCGGTGGTGGCGGTGGTGAGAGAACTTCCATGAGAAGTAGGGGACGAGAAGGAAGGAGTGAAGGGCCCATCCGGTGATGTTGTTCACTTTGTCGGACTTGGAGAAGGCGCCGTGGCCGCACTCGTGGCCGAGAATCCAGACACCGGTGCAGATGAGACCCTGTACAAAGCCGTAGACCATCCAGGCGGTGGCGCGCAGGATGGGGTCCTGAATGCCGGGGATGTAGGTGAGAGCAGCCCAGACGAGGCCGGCGACCATGGTGAGGTCGCGGACGACATAGTAGTAGGAAGTCACGAGCGAAGGCTCGAAGCAGTGAGCCGGGATGGCATCTCTGATGGTCTGAATATCAGGGAAGACAGGCTCGTTGGTCTTCTATGAGGAGGGTCAGTGATCAATGATCGGTCATCGAGATCGATGGCGGCGCATCGGAAGCTGTTTGCCGACTAACCTTCTGGGGCTTCTCGACCACCACGGTAGACGAGGTACGTTGGGTCGCCATTGCGTATGATAAGGTGCAGACCAGGTTGTTTGGGATCTCCTCACTATTGCTCAATGGATATAATATGAGATGAACGAAGGGGAAAGAAGGATACGCTCTCGAGACCGCACCGTATTATGGATGAGTAAAGGAAGGAACCAGAGGGAAGCTGAAGCTAAGAGGTCTGGGGAAAAGGGTGAAATTTTCTCAGGTGCCCGAGGTTAGGCAAAAGACAAAAAGGTTTCTAGTCAGACTTCACAAGGGACCCGGGAAGCAGACCGCCAACGAGAGAGACGTGTCTCCTTGACCCTTTTTTTAGGAGCGGCAGCATTAAAGGTGGGCCGTTACCCACGGTGAGAGACGATCCCTGGAATAGGGGTCCAAACAGTCTGGACTACTTTTTTTTTTTCTCGGTTTCCCCCCTTCCCTTGCTAGGTTGTCTTTGCCTTGCCTTGCCCACATGCATTGGGGGGGTTAGGCTCGGCGGCAGAAAATTTCATCTTACTGCTGTCAAAAGTCGAGTGTTTAGAATTGCTCGAGACTGCCTCGAGACGTGACTCGCCACTGGGTCTAACCTTGTGGCTTGCCCCAAAGCATCGCAGAGCCTCGGGCTGGGCGTATTCCGCAGCATATTCCATGACTCGATGATGGCCGCCACACGTCGAGCACAAAGCAAAAAACCGGTACCGTGGGTGTTGAAGAATGTCTCGGTGTCTTCCTTCGCAAACGTGGCCTCGCGGCCGAAGTGTCAGTTCTATGACACCTTCCATGGTACCATAAGATGAAACAATCAAAGAGGCAGCCAGCAGTCCCGGGCGGTGAACGCGTATCTGGCAACTCGGGAGGGAGGTGTTGAGAAACGCGGATCTAATCTGCTGCAAGATCCTAGCACGTTCAAGAAGAGGCTTCGTCGCTTAAACGGAACTAAACGCAATTTGGCCTAGTCGTGCAAGATTTCCAAGGGTCCGGTTCCACGTGCGGATAACAGAAGTCTTGGAAAAAGCCCACACAAAGGTTCTCAACCCCAACACTTTTGCACCCCTTGCTCTCTGCTTCCAAGTGGGAAATGAAACCCACTGTGTATGTTTGAGCTTGAATCTCGTTTAACGTGGAGTTCCAAGGCAGAGAAAGACGGTGGTAGCACCTAACAGGACCCTGGGAACTCCATTTGTTGACAGAGTGGCATTTCGACAAACTCCATTGGCCAAACGGTGGGGGTCTTTGGCTTCAGGAACCTCTCCATCTTCTCCAATCCCTCTCCCCTCATTGCCCAGATTCAGAGACCGCCCCCAAGCTGTTCAAAACATGGGACCGTGCGGTAACGTCGCGTCCCACTCGGGGCTTTACGGAAAGAGGGGGGGAGGATTGCGGGAGAAAGGGACGCACAAGTCATTCATTTCCCTTTGACCTTTGACATGTGCTAATGCGCCCCCTTTTGAGCTTCCCGAACGAGTTCGACCGGCTCTGTGGCTGAGCCGTCTACGGTCTCTCTTGTATTGCCAGCCACCATCTGCTATCTTTGTCAATCTGACGAGGCCGGGCCTGAGCACAAGGTTAGGGTTAGCGGGGGCCTCGGCGCACGTCCTGTCCAGATTGCGAGACTTTGCGCCGTTGGACGGAAGCAGTCAAAAGCTTAATTGGCTTCGTTGTGGATTCTAGAAATGAGCAGAGGTTACGAGGATCGGGATCCGGGGCAACCCTTTCTCTCTCTGGTTGTCTTGGGTTTGGTGCAAGTACGGATGTCTATTGACAATTGTCAGTATGGCAACTCTTGCCTCAATCAGAGCCGTCGCAACTCCCTGCGAGTCGAAACTTTAATCGCTGTACGCATACAATGCAGAACTCTTGTGAGATGCGCAAGAGGGAGTTCCAACGGCGAGGATCTAGGAAGTAATCAAATCCGACAATTTGCGTGTGCCGTTACCCGTTTGCCGGTGAGATTCGTGTCTATGTTGCAGTTATGAGGGGGCACTTAAGAATTGTTGTGGCATAACCGAAGGCCGTACATTTTCTTTGAGTACTTATTCAAAGCCTCGAGTTGAAGCTGAACTCGTAGCATCCCGAACTCTAGATGCACTGATACCTTACATCAACAACATGACGGTTTCCAAGGCCAGAAGGCTCGAAGACTTCATCAGATTTGTCAAATTGAATTCTCCTTATTACGCCCAGTCCTGGAAGCTGTGTAAGACTCTTGAAGATGCGTCGGTGTCTTTAAGGGATTTGCCCGTCGTTGACCATGAATCTTTCTGGGCATCAAACACATGTCGGAACAGTAAGGTTGTGACATCAAAACAGAAAGATGGCATAGTTTTCAAAACTGGAGGCGAGTTGTGCGCACTTCTCATACCACTTATCATAGGCTGCCTTCCAGGCTCCATGACGGGTTGACCAACTTGTAATACATGTATACTAACATTGCTCTGTCCAGGAACAACCACACACCCCAAAGTGTCGTTCTACAACCAGAAGGAACTTCATGGCCTTTCGACACAACTAGCAGAGAGCTTGG